CAGGGGTGAGTATAAGTTTGAGCGTTATAATTCGAGTCTTCTCTAATATCCTAAAGGCACTATTGATACACAATGTTTGATTTTATAAAATTATAAAACGCAATCTATTATTGCTTATTTTCACAGATGTTCAATATAAAATCTTCGAGATTTATTATATAATTTATATATACTATTACATTCGTGTATAGTATATATAACTTTTTATATATCACTTTTTCGAAATTTAAGCTATGTAAAACAAAGGATCATATATTATTTTTCATTTTAAATTTAAGCTTTTATATAAATTATTTTATATGTATCAGAAAAATAATATAACGTAGTTTATATTATATGCGTTTTTATATATAAATATAATATATATCATACATTATAAACTGTAGAAAACTGTATCATTGACTAGTTCCTTACATGCATAGAATTTTCAATTTAAATATAGACTAAATGTAGAATAAATATTTCAATAATAAACAGGTGGCCCAAAGAAAATAATTTACAACTCTTAATACTATATACATAATTCATATACAACAATACAATATTATAGATGTATAATCTTACGTAGAAATATATACATGAATTCAAACTGATAGCCTTGACCTTTGAAACAAATTTAAATTTTGAAATAATTAGCCTCGTGAGAACCCCTAGTGAGAATAAAATAGTGAGAAACCCTTCGTTTATCAGTTAACCTTACAGTTAAGAACTATAGAGCTATAGTCTCTATCTTATCGAATATACTGTATATTCTGTACACATCACCTCTATCAGATGGTTTAGTTTATTTTTGGTAGATTGTCAAGAAATTTTAAGTAAAAATCTAATTATAAACGTACTAAAACTAATTTTCTCACAATATAGTAAATTAAAAAATTTTCCTTAATCATATTAAAATTAATTTTTAATATATTATAAAGCTACAAAAATAATTTTTCCCATTGTTTTATATTATGGAAATTAAGTACAGGCTTCAAGCTCACACTCTTTTATTTGCAGTAGATAGATTATCCTATTATCTCGACATTGTAAATATATAAAATTAAATAATTTAATGCTTACAATAATAGAACAAAAATATAACTTGAAAAAGTATGTTTTTATGGTTTAATTTTTATTATAATCAAAATAGAATGTAAAGTATAGAACTGTAAATTATTTCTTAATTAAAATTTATTAGTAAAATGTAAAGAATGTTTAAAGAAATAAAAAAATAAATATTCCTAACATACTACTGTATTCAGTTGCGGATTAAAATCCCCTGGAGCCCTCAGGCACAGCAATTTGGGGCTTCTCCGCATAATTTTACGACATCATAAACTAAGAACATTTAAATTGTAGCTATAGAATTATTCATAAATTATGATACACAATTGCATTACCTTTTCCAATTTCGGGGCTTTCTTAGATTCGGGATCTTTAAACATGTGCCTCACGTACTCTACTGTAGATTAGGATTTAAAAAAAAAACAAATTAATTAATTAAATATTACTTGTTTTAGTTAATTATAATGTGAGATTTATGTAAACCCGACGAAATATATTATAAAGAAGTAAATAATATCTATAAATATCTTTAGATTTAAAGCATAAGAAGTAAATCAGGTAATAATTTTCTTGTGTAATCTGCAACATTCACGTAAAGGTCGAGAGACATTTACCCCGATTATAACCATATGCAAGTTGGAATAAATTTACAATTAAAACCACAAATTATATTTTATAAACATGCTGCTAATGGGCTAATCTCTAAAGAGAAATATTCTTCTCACGAAGGAAGGTTTTCATGCTCTGTCTCCAATGTAGGTTACCTCGTTTTGCAGCGTATTGAAAATCCCACTAAAATGTTCTGTACGGAGCACCCCTGTTGGGTGAAAATGACTTTATACTAGAAATTAAATTTATCTCGTTGATTGGCCAGGAAAAAAAAATGCATTTCATACCTTCTTAAATGTTATTTTTCATCGGAACAGATAAAATTTTAACAATTAATGGTTCTATTAGACGAAATTTTATTGTTTACTTTAATCGATTCTATGCTAACAAGGCGGCAGATTAATAAAAATAAAGTTTAATAGAATTATGGTTTTGTCAACATCATACTTCAGAATCCAGGACAAAACCAAATAGTTGGCTTATCTTTGCCACCATATGCTGCACTTTTTATCTTTCTGGATAGTTGACAGGAGTCGTTTCGATGTTTGATGACTTTCAAGTAGCTTACCTATATACTATACTTATAAAATTTACAATTTCTGATAGGGGTGATGCATATTTTAATTCATTTTCCAGTTTTTAAAACGAATTTACCTTTATAAAACTGAATAAATCTATTAAATTTTTTTATTATAGAAATTTTAAATACTGTATAATAATAAAAATATCTATAAAAAATTAAGAAATACACTAAATAAAGTGTCATCATTCTTCGTGTTCCTGAGGTGTTTATTAAGAACAGTTTAATTTCTAAATTTCTTGTGAATGTTTTAAAAACAATTGTTCTTTATTAATATTATTGTATAACATTATAGAAATGTTATTAAAATTACTATGTTACGGTTAACGCGCTACATTTTATAATACAGATTAGCCCAAAAATAAGTTAACCGAGTCGGTTAGGTTTTCGTATATCAGTTAATTGACTTTTGGGTCACCCTGTATTATTATATAATATACTACGCTTTATTAATATTACTGTGTAACTGTACATAATTATTGCAATAATATTTTATGTGTTTTTATAAATTTTAGAAGTAATAAAAACACACAAAAAATTAGCAAAATAATATTTATTATATTCATAAATTTTGTTTTTCTTGAACAAGGAAGTGTAGAAGGTGTGCATGCAAGTTCCCCATCATGATGACAATCCTGACAAAAAATAGTGAGTTCTTTTGTAAATATTTTATATCTCTAACGTTAAAGTATTTACAATATTTTCTTTTGTAAATAAAATATAAGATATTGTCTCGGTTGCTTACTGTCCTATGAGCATTTAAACGGTTTAAATTAAGCATTAATATAGCTTTTAAATTTTAGCATTAATCATTATCAATTAAATTATGTTTTAAATAAGAAATTCCTTCGTTTTTTATTATTATTTTAATGACAATAACCTGTCAAACTTGTAATAAAAATGTCTGTTAGAAAAATAAAATTTGAATCGGAAATTTCAAGTAAAAGGCATTTTCATTCCAATATTTAGAGATTTTCATTTGAAAATTATAAGAAAAATAATTTTATATTATAAAATTGTGTTATTTTATAAAATTTCAATTCTTTTTCCTTAAATAATTTAAGCAAAATTGTTAGAAATCTTGCAATAATTCGCTTTAAATTATCAATAGCTTGCCCTTTTTTACGTTCTATATTTTAAAATAAGAATTATATATTATAATATTTAATATATTTTACACTTAAAAACTGATTTAAATTAATTTTTCCAAAAAATCCATTAGAAATTTTGTGAATTTTTAAGACATTTTAAACAAAAACTCCTTTGATGCTGTTTCTTTGCAACGTAGTAATGCGTTGCTTCTCAGTTTCTACAATATTATCTTATTTATTTATTTATTTATTTATAGAAGTCTTATACAATTAATTTTAATTACTTGATGAAGAGAATTAAAATTAGTGTCAATTATGATTAAAGTTTAATCAAAATTATTATTATTTTTATTATAATTTAAGTCAAATTTAATCAAAGACTTTGAAAGAAAAGAAATGATTTTGATTGAATATCATTTAATTATCATAAGATTTTCATTATCATTCCAAATATTTGACATTAATGGTGATCAATGGTTGGTATTTCTACCTCGGAGTCGGTTAATCAAGAAAATTTCATCATCTCTTAATAAGATTGGATTCCCCTAAGAATTTGTCCATCATTAAGGAAATGGTATCTTATCTTAAATTTAGCATTTCACTTCGTAATAAAGGAACATAATTTGCTGCCGTTTAAATATAGAAAAATAATTTTAATTAATTTATCAAGAAAAATGTAGAAATTTACTGAATTTTTGTTATAATTTAGGGTTTAAGCAGATTAAAATCGATTTATAGTAAAAAACAAAAAAAAATTGTATGTTCATGTTCATCGAGTTAATAATTAAGCTAAACATTTTCGAATAAAACTTTAAATGTAGAGAAAGTGAAAATAACGAACGCATCCATCATTAAAATTAGGCCTATTCAATATCGGAACTTGAAACACAGGTCTAGGGTTCTCTTCCGACCAACGTAGAGTTTTCCGGGTTTTCTTCACGTGTCTAGCATCTAAATAGGGACCAGTTTCTCATAGAAAATCCTCTCCCCTCGACAGATCACCCTCGAGTTGCGTTGCCTTCTTCTATCATATCATAGAAATTCCTCGAGATGCTTTGCCTCCTATCAATTCAATCCGATCCAATTCGAACTTCATTTTTTAACAAATTTCTCTGATTTATGTTTGAAATTCAATCAAATTATCATTATTATTATTATTATTTTAATCAAGTTTAACTAAAACCCTAAAAGAATATCTATTTTTTTAATTAGAATTGCTATGCTACCAATCCCATCATATACCATATAATCATAGATAAAATCTCACTACGCATGGAGTTTTATAAGAAGTCAGAAGACAAAACTTAATTAAACTACTTCTTGGTATGCATCAACGTGGTCTGGTTTAAATCTTGGCAATCTCAGTGACAAATAAGAATATAATCCTGGAAATCCGTTCCTTATAGTTTATGAAGGGTTTTAGTTTGAAGTAATCCCAGGACATTCGGAAGATTCATTTCTTGTCTAAAATTAACATCCGAATGTTGGCTACTCAGCAGTAGTTAGTGTTAAAGAACTGGGTGGTCCGATCAACGGTACTTAATTGACGTTGGTGCGTGCGTCATTTCTCAGTGTTGGAGAACTGTCATAAAACCACTTTAATTACCACTGGCTAACTTTGTAGTCCGGTTGTAAAAGGACACACAGTTCGACAACGTTCGCCAACTTCCATCATGGCGATAGTTCTATTTCAAGTTGCTCATGAATCACCCTTCTGTTCCCCATCCAATCAAAACATTGGCTTAGATTACAGGGTAATTATCTGTAGGCGGATGGTCTCGCTTCCCCCTGTCCGACTCCCGGACGATTGACATTCGTAGCTGTCCTTCTAACATTCTTTCTTCGACTGACTTGATGAATCACTTACACTTGTCTGACCTCAATAAACTAACAACCAAATATATATGCGCTTAGAGTAGATCAAGTGCTTATAAAACACGATGATTCATCACTACATTCGAAGATTTGCCCGCTTGTTTATTTGTATTTGGCTTATAACTGTTCTCTTCTAAAATATTATCAGAAATATCGGCGATAATGTTATTTTCTCTTTGAACTACTCGCCTCTTTTCTAAACCATTTCACCTTCAATTTTCCGGCCTACTCATTAAAATCCTTTTAAATTTAGCATTCTCGAAATCGACGCGTTTAAACAGCTTCAAATTCTTTACTAATTTTAACTTTGAACACAGTTTAGAACTGTAATACGACCTTAACAAAAATTTAATTCTGTAATTTTTATGAGGCATAGGCGAGTAATATTTTATTAATTTTAAAATGGATTTTTTTCGGAATTAAAAAAGAGACAATTCACCTGTACCATATAAAACGGGAAGAATACTTCATTTTATTTTAAATAGCATTAAATTTAGTAAATTAATTATGAGTTTTCTATAAAAAACGCGTAAAATAAACTATTTGCAAACAGTAAACATCAGCAGGAACAAAGGTATTGCGACAAAACAACCATAAAAGGAATTAGACTACTTCTAAGAACTGGGCAAACGTGAATTTTCTTCCAAACTTTGCAGCTGTGTTTAATTGTTCGGGTATATAAATAAAATAAATGAGTAGTTCCTACAGTCAATGTGTTTTGCTGAACACATATAAGCATACAGTCTGCGAACGTCGGCTCCTTTCATCTTCTCGAGCCGACAGTTATCTGAAGCCAACCGTGTTTGTTTGGTGACAACTAACTTCAAAGTGAGGCGACTAAAACACAAAAATCAATGTATTATCAGCCTTCAGACAAACCTTAGTTACAACTCAAATAAGTTATTAATGATTAAAGAACCGAGGAGGGGACCTTCAGACAATTATTCGCAACCTTTTTCACTGATTCATTAATATCACCCGAAGGCAATGTTATGGTACTGTATAGTACTGTACATACAGATTTAATATTTACACAATTGTTTTTTTGATTGATAAGTAAATATTATGACGAAATAAATCATAGAATTAAAACGGAATTGTATATATATGCTAATTACATAAGGTGGCTTCATACATAATACTGTATACGTCATAAATCTTTGGGCTAATGTAACGATCTGTTTCGAAATGGCAATCCCCTGTTCGCTTACATCGTGAATAATAAACGATTAGTGTCATTGGATCTTCTATATAATTACAGTATAGTAATGGGGACAACTGTACTTTCCCCAGGCAATAAACACTCGTCTTGTCGACATACTGGACGAACTATAGGCTAAATGATTATAAAAATTGTTAAATAATCTTCGACCAAAAAGTCTTTATAATTAAATAGTCTACTCCGTTCATAAATTTAAATGTTAGTCATTAAAATACGCTACTTCAAAAACTTATAATTTTTATGATCATTTCAAAAATACTTTGTTTCTTTTAAAATAATAATGTGGCTTCGTGATAGCTTATGTCGAAACAGTTTACAAACTATTACCGGTAACTTTAAACAGCTGTTAGTTAAATACCTGATGTTAGAATGTAAACATATAGGCCTATATCCTATAATTAAAAGGCTTTTTAAGTCTTCGTGTTAAAATGCACACCTGTAAATTATAAAAAGAGAAAAACAAATGCACAACAAGCCATTCTATAAAAGAGCTGTGTAGTTATTTACGTTTCAAACTTGAAGTTACTCAGGTATCTATAGAACATGTGCTCTAAGCTACTCCTCTTTGGTAAAGTATTATCATAGCATTTCTATATAATATTTGAAATTGTAATTTGTACGTTGGAATTACAAACAGGTTGGCCAAAAATCAGTTAATCATTGTAAGGTCTGAATTCTCTTATTAAAATACTACGTTACTTATAAAGTACAAATGAAATCATTCGTATTAATGTACAAATATTACTACATTTCGTGCATTAACTGATTTTTGGACCATTCTGTATTGTTAACGTTTATATTATTTTTATATTAATATTACTATACTTATTATTTTCTATTGAAATTGTTCATTATCTATATAATATAGTTAGATAATGAAGTTAGTCGGGCATCTATGTAACACGTTTCTACGCTATTCTCCTTTGGTATGTGAATTTTTCTTCGTTTTTAATTAAAAATAGAAGATATTCGCATTTAATAACTGACAAATTTTAAATTGAGGCATCGAGTTTTAAGGATTATATTTAGGCCTAAACTTCAAACTTTTTACGTGTTATCCAGCACAATTTATGCGATAAAGATTAACTTCTGACATCTAAAAATATTTCTTATTTTAAGAAAGTTAAAGAATATATATATATATGTATATATATATTTTTTTTAATATCAACTACAGAGACTTAATATAGCGACGAAGAATGTTAGCTTAGTCTGTAGGCCCGATTTTCCTTTTGATGTATGCTATTATCGTATGAAAAATAAACAACTGTGGGTTTTAAAATGCATTTTTATGGCTAATAAATCAAATGACATAAGTCTTTTCTCGAGCAGATAATTTTCTAAGCTTTTCTATTCTATGAATGCAAGCATTTTTCAAGCGTAACATAAAACAAAATTAAAAAAAAAAAAGTCGTGATATTTCATTAGTAAAAAGGAAAAGAAATGGGACTGTGAAAAATTGGGTTTATTATTTAAAAAAAAATACCCTTTAAATATAGAATTATTATGATTAAAAATAAATATTTTATTCCGTGAATCCATATTGTTTCAAAATAGTAATAATTTATTTAAGAAAGTAGCAATAATTCTTAGAAGTAAACTTTTAATTTCTTCCCTATTTTTAACAAAATATTATTTACTTTTCATTTAGTTCANTCTCCTTACAGATTCTATATTCTATGGAAGCTAAATCCGGAGATCTTGCTGCCAATTACGTATCTTCACTGCCAAGAAAGTCATTGACGAGTGCGGCTCGTCAACCTCCATCAAGAACATTCCAAAAGCTTCAAGCTATTCTTATTCAAGAATAGACTTTGCAGTCGATATAGTCGATAAACAACATTGTATCTAACTAGCATAAGCAATTGCAGTGCAAAATGCAAACACATATCAAATTAGAACGGAATCTTATTCTTTTAAAAATGTATTTTAAAATAAAAATATCTCTTTTTATAATCTTTAATTAATAAAATTACAATATTTCAAAATTAGCTACATTTCAGAATATATAAGCCTATATATATATATTCTGCTCTAACGAGTCCATCTAAATTATAATTGGTACCGATAATTACTAATGGCATAATATTAATGAAGACACCGTATCATTAACATATTTTGATGGAAGATGAATATAATGGTACGTTAGAATGATTTGCTTTGCTAACATTTGAAATTCCAATCTGAAATAGAATCATGCTGGAAACACAGTATTGAAATACGAATAATAAAAATATTTAATAAAAGTTGGAAAGCAGATAACTCGTATAAAAATAAATATTTTATTCTGTGAAGACAATCCGATTAGAAGCAGTCTACTTCAGGTTTTCTTAAAGATAAATAATATAAAAGAAAGACAGGAGATAGTTTAATAAGAGTATAATAAAATACTTTCTAAACGCTCTCATGAAAGCTGAAGAGTGTATAAGAACTCCGACGTCAGTTACTTAATGAACTCGTTACAAATTCAAATGATTATGACAGTTGGGTAGCTGATGAGCTTATGTCAAGATGGTCTAATTCTGATTATTCAGAGCGCGTTTAAGTGCCCAAGGCAGAACAACAATCGTCTCTGGTTCTTAACCTGTCCCATAATGAGTTCTTTTATTATTAAACTACGTGCCACCATCGCTCCGATATCGTCAAAGATTTGAATTTACGAGATAAATAGTCCAATCTAATTTAATGGCACCGTATTTTATACATTACGGTAGACTTAAGTTAAAGAATTGAATATTATTCTCTACAAGAAAATCGGTTTTTAAAATGAAGTCTACCCTTTACCAGAAACTAATTTTACTTGTAAATTATACGATAAATTAGCATTGTGAGAACCAAAATTTCTTTTGATATGCTATTTACATAAGCCTGTAATCTACCGAAGTTTTCATGCTGACCAGCAACTCTTATCTCAATTTTTCTTTTTGTGGGTCAACTAAGGTAGTTGTTTGCCTTGGCAGAGTTCAAAATGTTAGGTCAGTTGCCAGAAATAAATCGTCGGCACAAGTCGAAACGTCCAAAAGTGAAGCCTTGAGTAGTTAAGCCCGCATTCCATTCGAACGTACGCAAAGAACAATTTGTAAATAAAACACTTTTATAACTTCAAAGAATAAATCAGGATTTTAAAAGAGGAAAAAAAAAGTTGAAGAATTTAGACTTATTTAAATTTTTAAGCCAGTTCCTGAATATTATATAAGCTTACAATCGATGCTCAGCTGGTATAGGCTATATAATCTATTGAAAATTATAGGCTTAAGAGTTTAAAGAAAAATATTTTGAAGAGAAAATTATAAAAGTAATAATGCATTGATAAGTAAATTATATAATCCAGCTTTATCTATATTTTCTCTAAAATCTTCGAAGAGATATTTTGATTTTCTAGTCGACCTTGCGCTTTGACTTCCTATTTAGTCTGAGTGTTTGCTCATCATTTCTCATCCTTCAAAAATAAGATTTCAAAAATGATTAAAAAAAATTGAATCTTACAACAATAATGGCTTATTTTGAAGTTTGTTCTATGTTATTTGTATAGCAATTTGTGAAAAATGACGTCCTATTTGAAGAGATGAATAGGCCTATATCGATAGATATCAACAATTATTTTCTTCCTGTCTATTTTCCTGTCTATCTGTTTAGATAATTTAATATTTATGTAGT